TTTCGTCTGATTTTGGAGAAGAAAAAAGAAATTCTTTTGCCTTCTGACAGTGGTCACCATGCCGAAAATAGGCCAAGATGTCTGTTGCCATGCCGGAAGGTGGATGGCAGATAACTTTAAAGAGAGGAGACAAGACAAGGCTCTGATTTTATGTTTTGTTTCTTACTTTGATGCAGTGATATGTGATGCTGGCTGTGTATATGTGATGTTTCCATTGAATCAAAACCATTTGTACAATGATTGAGTCAAAATTTCAAAATGTAAGTTTTGAATCTGTGGAGGATGTCATCCATAAAATTTACTTGCTGTGGCCTTAAAACCATTTCCTTGCTGTGTAGACCCTAGTAGGTTCAACCCAATTAGTGAATTACAATATACATGCATTAATTTATAGCACAACATTATAAAAACATCAGTACAGATGTATAACTGTAGAACTAGTAGCCTTTACAACTATTGTAGACCTCTTTGTCCATGCCTAGAAAATGTAAGTAAGAAGGACTAACCTAATTAACTCCTAAAAGATCACACCTCCATCAGGAGTGTTGAATGCACAAGAAGCATTTTCGCAATAAACCATCATTCATACAAGGTTGTGGTCCTATGTACAACATAGTGTAGGCTGGGGTTTTGGTACAAAATTGAACTCAATCTTTATTAATTCTCTGTTCTTTCTTAGTCATATAACAGGTAGTAAGGCCCACACCAATTTGATTAATTGGTTCTCGGATTCACCCGCTTCTATTTTTTCCGGTTTGCACAAAAAAAAAAAAGATTCAGGTTTTGAATCAACTCCTAAATGCTCATATTTTTGGTCCTAACAGTTGAATAAAGCTCCTTGATTTTCTAGTTATTACAGTGTTTAATTTATCAAATAAATGCACTTTTTTTTGTCGAAAAGGGTAGTTTATTAGAAATTATAAACCAGCCTTCTATATGTTGACTTAATAGCTCCTATCATAGCTTTCATGAATATCATTGGCTCGCCTTTGGCTTGGGTTTTTTTTTCACCTTGTCGATTCTATTTTTTTTTTCTGAAAAAATCTGAGAGTCAAAATCAAATTGGTGTGGCCTAATATACTGTAAAATTGTTTAAAGTTAAAACTTTTGGTCCAACACAAAAAATTCTCTCACCTAGAGCTTTCGACCAGTCACTCTGGTCTTCCTCAGTAGACTGACCCAGTGAGGCTTGTCACGTGGCTTCTTTGAAGTGTGACGTCAACACTGCGCCAAAGGTATCTGGTAGACGATGAGAGAATTTTTTGTGTTGGACCAAAAGTTTTAACTTTAAACATGTAACTACCAACATAGATGAACTTTCATGATAATACTGTAAAATTGTTGTATGTGCACCTGCAAAACATCTTTATGTAAAGTTCTGTAGAAGGGTATATGAAAGCTGATGTCTTTAAATATTGGGACAACTGTACATGATAGCTTCTGGTGATAGTTAAGAGGCATTCCTAGATGGAATCGGTGTTAGTTAACAGCTTTTGTAGTGAATGTAGAATTGGTTAAGCACATTTTATGTTGGATAATACAACGTGCACTATGATTTCTGGCTAGCAAATGTAGCAGTTTCACACTAACACCCATGACCTATGTTAGGCCACAGCAAGTAATTTTTATGGATGACATCAGCGCGCGCATTAATTTTCGCCTGATTTTGAAAAAAAAACAATTTGTTGCCCTCTGACAGTGGTCAACATGCCGAAAATGGGCAAAGATGTCTGTTGCCATGCCGGAACGTAGATTGTAGTTAAGTATGAAGAAAGGAGACACAAAAAAGGCTCTGATTTAATGTTTTGTTTCTTACTTTGATGCAGTGATATGTGATGCTGGCTGTGTATATGTGATGTTCCCACTGAATCAAAACCACAATTGTACAATAATTGAGTCAAAATTTGAAAATGTAGGAACCTTGTTTTTTTCGGCCCGTCTTGTTTTTTTTTCGCCCCCTCGCATTAGATTTGGAGTCTACGGAGGATGTCATCCATAAAATTTACTTGCTATGGCCTTACAGTACGTACTGCATCATTATTTTGGAATTTAAGATATGTACATTTTTAGACTGATTGGATAAGTAAAAACAAAGTCTAATTCGAACTGCAAGAATGAGGGAGTGTGAAGATGAGCCACCAAATCACTGCATTTTTAGTGAAAAATCGCCCGCGTTGAAGTGATTGTGGTATGTTGTATTTATTGTCCATAACTTTCCTTTATCCTTACTATAATGATTATTATAGCCTGTTACGGTACATTGAATACAGTGTTTGTCATTTTGTAAGGTAAGAGGTAATGAAGAAGATTCTGAAGTAGTAATGATATACTAGTAGGCCTCTGGTTTCCAGATTGTATTGCACTACCCTCCGTAGCAGGCTCATAGAACTAGGGGTTTGGTGGTCTTCGGCTGTTTTCTGATTAGCCCAGTTCTAAAAAAACGGGGGTAGTTCAACCAGGCCGGCTATGTTGACTATATGCAATCAGGAAATAGCACATAAAAGCTCCCAAAGACCCCCAAAACTCCAAATTTTTGGCATGCTATGGAGGCTAGTGTTTCACATAATCTTGCAAATTTGCAGACAAGTTGGAAGGCTTCTTGGATAGAAGGACAGTTCTTGATTTTGGGAGATTTTTGTATGGGATGGGAGTTACGTACTGGGCTTACAAAAGACACTTTACTGAACGATGTGTATCAATCTCGACTGAAATAAAGCCAGTCTTACAATGTACGTGATTTTGATTTACTAGTAAGTACCTGATTAACCATTTGCGGCAATACATAGCGACATTATAGAAGAACTTTATTGCACGACAATTGCACATGGTACAATGTACATGTATGGCAAACTACATAAAGAGAGCAGCAAACAATAAAATGTGTTGAACAAGACCTAATGTCGAATAAAACCTAACAAATCTATATCATAATTATTCAAATAATAAGGGATAGCACAAATCTTTGATAAAGTGTAACAATCGAGTGGGCTAATCACAAGTTTCGGAATTTTTTCTAATAACAAAGCATATGACAAGCCGGAACATGCTGGCCTATTGCGGAATATATGAATCGGTGCTGTACTGAGTTCTTGAGTCGTGGAGCTTCGGTAGCCTGAGTGACATCCAGAGTTACCACCAGCTCCGTATTGTTGCTAACTACCATGGAATACCCAGAGCCAGGCCAGAGCCTCGGAGGACGTGATCTTTTTTTTTTTTTAAGAACAGGCAAAAATCAATGAGCGCGTGGATGTGATCCATAAAATTAAGTCAGTGTAGCCTTATGTAAATTACGACGGTGCAGTATGTAAACTCAGCTGACCCATGTCTTTACTCACAAGCACCCGAGTTTGTATTCAAAAGGGGAAGCTTAATAATTAAGCGCAGGTATGTTGGTGTCACGAATAATATCGATGCAAAACAGACAATTCTTCTGCTTTGTGCGACAGAACAACGCACTTTCAAAAGGTTGTGGGTAGAAAGGGGCGTGTATACTGGTACCATCATGGTCCTGTGATGACTACGTAAGGACCACCGGATCACCCGTACACCGGTTGGTCATAGGCACGTGAGCTGTGACGCTATTTGGTTTTCTCGGCGTGCATGGAGCAGGGTTCATTCGGTCATGTTTACCGATCATGCTTGCTGAAAATCTTCATGTTTGTCACGGCTTTTTAAAATACATTGTTTGTCTTCCACTCCACTGCAGTCCTTCTCACGTCTCCCTCATATCTATATTATGGCACCGTGTCTCTACAGCTAAGCACCGCTCCTACATATTAAGTACATTTGCATGCCGGCCCTTAGCCAGGATTTTGCTTGTGGGGGTGGGGGAAGGGGCTTCTTGCTGACTGAGGGACCAGCGAGCACCGTATGCGCGAGTTTGCGGGGTCATTGAACCTTCTGAAATGGCATTTCCTTCGTTTTATAGATATAAGGATTTTCAAAGGAAAAATCAGATATAGCAATGACAAAGTGAGCAGCTTTGCTGGGATTTCGACCCTGCTGGTGATACAAATCAGTCATTTTAAAGAAGAAATATCGGACCTTTAGATAAAAAGTGGACCTTTGAACCCTAGCTAGGGGCTTAATTTGCCTTCACAGCTTTAATTTGCCTGGCCATGCCTAGCTACACAGCCTGGATTCTCATTGGCCTTTCTCGTGCCACAAGGTCGTGAGTCACAGTTATTTCAAAAGCCGTTTCCATGGGAACGTTTGCCGACTGACTTCAAGTTGCCAACATCAACTCTTCAGTAGGCATATAGTACGCCGTACGTGGAAGGCCGGAAGGATATATTCTCTCACCGGAAGGCCAGAGGATATACCGCTGTGAATTTTTGGGGCAAAGCACATTGTGGCAAAGCGAAACATGGCAATACTCCGCGGTAGTTCCCACCTGATAACTTGTACCCTTGTTTTTGTTGCCATTTCGGTGCGTCTTGGACGTGGGAGCGCTGCCGAAGGTTTCACCCACCATGAGGCACTAGACGAGGCAGGGAAGTACCACCTGTTCTGGAAATTTGACGAGGAGAAGATTGAGTTGGAGGCGCGAGTCCAGACGACGGGATGGGTCGGGTTGGGCCTGTCCCCGAACGGAGGCATGGCGGGGTCTGATATCGTCATCGGCTGGGTGGCAGACGGGAAGGCACACCTGACGGTAAGACTGTGGAGAGCGCTTCAGTATGGCTGTGAAATACCCTGGAAGCCAGAACTCGTTTTCCGGGCCGCAAGAGTCCTTCGCCAGCTGGTGTAAATTATCGCTACGGGGGAGTCTAGCCCGGGGGGAGTTTGGCTGGCCCTACACCTCCCCACGGGCTCAATTCCACCGCAGCGGTAATTTAGGTCTGCGGGCGAAGGGCTTCTGGCTGCCGGAAGAAACGGCTAGCGGCCCGTAAACTTGGCTGGCACCCAGGGTAGCTGTGAAAGTACTCATACTAGTTGTTCTCCGTATGCAAGCGCCATTCTTTTCCACTGGGGTCATTTGGCGTAGCGGCAGAGTGCTCGACTCGGCACCAAGAGGTCCCGGGTTCGAGTCCTGACATGCCACCGATCTAGTGCCCTTGGGAAAGGCAATTTACACGGCTTTCCTCACTTCGCTCAGGTGAAAATGAGTATTGTATTGTCCCCTGTATTGGTGGCGGCATTAATATAAGTTGAAAAAAATTGAGTGTGCCGTCGCCACGTCTTGTGATTACATGTTGGAAATAATTTAAAAAAAATTCTTTTCCAGTTATAACATCTTGATTTGATAATATGGATGAGTTTTTCGAAAAGGTTTCGACAATACTGTAAATCACACAAGGCACCTGCAAAATGGGCAAATATATACCGTAAATTGCAAAAAAAAAAAGAAACTTGGAAACGATACTAATGTCGTAGAATGACAAAATCGATTTCAAAGGAAAAGAAGAAAATGCGAAGAAATGAAAACATAGAGTCCATTAATCGCAATACCATACCCTGTTTGGTGATTTGTTCAACCTTCATGACCACGTTGATTTCATAATGAAGAAACTTTTTTGCCAAAGGTTTTTTTTATTCGCACGCTCGCATCAGTTTTGGGGTTCCCAGAGGATGTCATCCATATAATCAAATCAACACGGCCTTACCAGGCATTACTGACTCCAACAAATAAACATACAACCTAAATGTACAGTCACACGGTCAGACACGCGTTGCAAAGCTTGAACCCAAAATAATCCATATTGAACATAAGGCCACACCAATTTAATCTGTTGTTTCTCGGATTTTTTCAGAAGAAATATGAAGCGACAGGGCGAAATAAACAAAAAAACAGGCCAAGGCACCCCATGATAGCCGGAAATGTTACAATATGAGCCATGAAGTGAACATACCAGGCTGGTTTATAATTAAAGCAATAGATTTTGAACTTTTAATGAAACAAAATTGCATTGTTACATTCAAAAACTTTAACAACTAGGAAGAAAAGGACTTTCTTCAACCGTTGGGACCAAAATATGTCTTTCATTGAGCATTTTGCAGTTGATTTATTTTTGCAAATCAGAAAAAAATGGACATAGCGAATCCGAGAAACAACAAATTAAATTGGTGTGGCCTAAGCTGTCTTACAAGTCTCAGACATTGGTGTGTGACGTTTAACTGCAAGGGATTTTGAATAAGAAAGTTAAGACTTTTGATACGACAAAGCTAAGCTTGAAATCGAACTTAGATAAGATAATAATCCCGCCTCTCTGATAGATGGTTTAACGTTCAGCTATACGCCCTTGGGCGGTAAATTCTGACCAATCACAGGGCGAGGTTATGAGAGCGACGGGATTACCCTACAAACAGTCTTCCTGAGTGTTTTTTTTACAGCATTTGTCGCTATGACCTATGGCGACGACGATTATTAATGCTATTAAACTTTGCGCGGGGTCTACCGTTAAATGTCACAAAATGTCAGATAGAGTAATTCGTTGCAGGAGTATTAGCGTAAGACTTTTTTTTTCTCGACACCCTCCCAAAGTAGAATTACGGGTTTAGATTTTTTTCATGTTCATAAACTAAGCTTTAAAGCAATGTTGTCTAAGTACGGGGCTGATAAGTCTTAGACATATTTATTTTTTTCTGGAGGAAAATTAGTATTCATATTCTAGATATGTAGTAGAAATTAACCTTTTTCAGCATATTTCTAGGTAAGGAATCATTCTTGTGGGTAAAGTTGGCACGTGTAGAATCAGAATGTTTTATCTATGATTGCGAAAGTCGTACAATATTTTTCACAAAATACCTTTCTGAGAATAATAGCACAATAGCATAATACCGGTCATTGCCTGCATAATAGCATAATACGAGTACTGGGCATTGCCTGCATAATATCATACTAGTAATACTGGGCATTGCCTGCTAGAGAGTTGTACGTCATGACCGTACGCTAACAATCACGTGTTTGCGGCGTACATGGTTTTGGGTTACGTGACGTCAGGAGCAACCTGTCGGTCGATCGATCAACCCGATAACATTCTCCAGGCAGAGCCTTTTATATGAATAAAGACCTTTATTGTACACACATACAGGGGTCTCCCCAGGAATTTTTAGGGGAGTGGTGCTGGAATTTTTTGGAGGGCACGTAGTGCCCCGACGCCGCGCGAAGCGCGGCTGTGAGGGGGGGGGAGAG